CATACACACACACACACACACACACACACACACACACACACACACACACACACACTTCACTTAAACACATGAGCAGACCAATCATCCAATGTTTCTAATACCAAGGCTTTCGAAAATCCAGTAGTAGACAGATTTTCCTTCATTTTAAAGACATTTCTAACTATTTTAATGAAGATTAATTAATGATCTGAGGCATTATGTAATTTATTGATGTTGGATTATGCTCTTAATAAAATTAATTAGCATTAGAGAGAAATGCTCCATCTGTCAGATTAATTTAAACTAATCTTTTTTGCACTATTCATTACAAGAACCGGCTCATAAGAGTCATTCATGAATCTGTCTACACTGGTCACACTGCATGTTTCTGATTCACCAAGAACCACTTCATAAGAGTCATTAGTTCAAGAATCAGATTACACAGGTCACGCTGTATGTTTTTGATTCACTAAGAAGAACCACTTCATAAGAGTCATTTGTTCATGAATTGCACTATACTGGTTATGCTTTAATGATTTTAATTAAAAGAGTCATACATTTAAAAATCTGACTACACTGGACACACTGTATATTTTTAAGTCACTAAGAAGAACCACTTCTTAAGAGTCAATTGTTCAAAATTCTGACTACACTGGTTGCGCTTTGTGTTTCTGATTCACAAAAAAAAAGAATCACTTAATAAGAGTAATTTGTTCATGAATTGTACTATACTGGTCATGCTTTAACGTTTTTAATTCACTAAAGAGAACCGACTCATAAGAGTCATTTATTTAGGAATCAGACAAAACTGTAGATTTTTAATTCACTAAGAAGATTAATTTGGCCACAAATCAGACTACACTGGTCACATTGTATGTTCTTTTTGCATGCAGCCCATTTTGACAATAGGATATTTACTGCCATTATGTTGCAGTACACATTCTTTATATTGAATCACATTGAATACAAACAACACACTCACATTCACACAGGGAAAAAAATTGTTTTGTGTATCACAGTATTATTACCTGTATGCAGAATTGCAGATCTCTTTGTACTCCTTGAGCTTGTCACAGACCATCTCCAGGAACTGGTTGGAGTACGCACTGAGGTCCTGCATTAGACTCATTAGATCCTGAATGGACTTCTCCACAACCACAGTGCTCTGAAAACACAAACAAACATACACTCAATATGATACACTCTGAAGTCAGGGTATCACCTCTATTCGTTTCTATGGGTCAGATGATTGCCTTAGAGACTGTAAATGTCGCTGTTGTTAAGGTGCGGGGGAGGTTCTGGTCGGAGGTCAGGGTTGAGTTTAAGAATGACCAGTCCTTTATAAAGGACCGTGAAAGACTACAAAATGCTGCAGTCTATCTGCTCAATTGCTCGCTTTTGAGCAAACACGTCAAATAGCCCGAAAAACAAACACGATCAAAACCCTCCATTCACCTGTCAGATCCGGACAACCCTTCTGCCGTAAATGAAGCGTGACGATACAGAAACATATGACCATGGATATTATTTTATATGTGTGGCAATGACAAACCTCCACTCGTCCACATCCTTCAAGCACTTCCTCTTCCTCAGCCCTCCCTACCATTTAACCATTTCACCTAGAATAACTTTCTCCTAGAACAGGGCACAAAAAAGGGCCACGTTTTAAACATTATGATGGGCCAAAACAAAAGAGCCATGAGTCTTAGCACAGCTACCAACATTTGGCTGTGTTTCTAATGCCAGCAGTGATTGACTGAAAGTGACAGCGAACGGTAGTACGGCATTAGCAACGCTGCTGCCTAGTGCACTGAATCATAACTTCCTTGTGGCATTGGCACAAACTGTCTGTTTAATTGGACTCAGCACTAACTCAATCCAACCACATTGTGACCCATCCTGCCCAGCAGGGGGCAGCGGCGAGTGCCCCGAGTAGTTTGTTCTTATTAGCACATTGCTGCACATTTGACGTACAATCTGCTAATACACATATCAATGCCTGCTGTTTGTGCCCCCTGCCTGAGCCCGGGGGCGGAGAGCGAGGTAATGATCCGTGGCACTGCCCTGGCCCGTTAAGCTCTCTAGCAGAGAACCAAGGGGGATGGGGGAGAAACGACTCAGCGGGGGAACACTAGCCTTCAAAGCTGTGCCCCTGGTCACACTGGAACAAGTCCATCAACGCCATAGTGTGTCCGATTATGTGTGTGAATGGGTGTCTGGAAAAGATTGGCATGGTTACTGGGAAATGAGCGTAGAACACACATATCAAAATTTTTCAACATTTTCATGGTAATTGAGTATATACATATAAATTCTTATCAATTATATATATAAATGGAGAAAATATGGACATATATGTAAATTGTGTGTATGTATGTATTTGTGTTTCCTTTTCATATACTTTCTTCATTTTTTTAGAAAACTATCATATACACATTTATTTCCATATTTTTAATCAATTTGATGGTATTTGATATAAATATTTTGGACGGATGGATGGATGGACAAATAAACAGGCAGATAGATAGACAGACAGACAGACAGACAGATAGATAGATAGATAGATAGATAGATAGATAGATACAGTTGAGGTCAAAAGTTTACATCCCCCTTTGTGTAAATTATTTTACCAAAATAAGACGGATCGTACAAAATGCATGTTATTGTTTATTTAGTATTGATCTGAATAAGATATTTCACATAAAAGATGTTTACATATAGTCCACAAGAGAAAATAATAGTTGAATTTATAAAAAATGACCCCATTCAAAAGTTTCTTAATATTGCGTTCTTACCTGAATTATCCACAGCTGTGTTTTTTTTGTTTGTTTTTTTTAGTTTAGTTGTTCATGAGTCCCGTGTTTGTTCTGAACAGTTAAACTGCCTGCTGTTCTGTAGAAAAATCCTTCAGGTCCCACAAATTCTTTGGTTTTCCAGCATTTTTGTGTATTTGAACCCTTTTAAACAATGACTGTATGATTTTGAGATCCATCTTTTCACACAGGACAACTGAGGGACTCATATGCAACTATTACAGAAGGTTCAAACGCTC